ATGAGGGGAAAAAGGGACATATGGGGTGTGCTGATTTAAAAAAAAATTCTTTTAATGTTTTGGTTGTCAGTCTTAGCCTTTTTTTTTAATTTATTGTTTTTATATTTTTTATGTGTATTGCCTACATGTAAGGTATGTGCGGTATGTGCACCCGTGTTGTGCAGTGCCCACGGAGGTCAGAAGAGGCTGTCAGATCCCCTGAGACTGGAGTTATGGACAGTTGTTAGCTGCTGTGTGGGTGCTGGGATTTGAACCCGGGTCTTCTGCAAGAACAACCAGTGCTCTTAACTGCTGAGCCATTTCTCCAGGCCCTAGTCTTAGCCTTTAATGACTGCACTATCTCTTCAGCAGAGAGATGACTCACCTGTTAAGAGCACTGACTGCTCTTGTGTAGGACTGGGGTTTCGATTCCCAGCACTCACATGGCAGCTAACAACTGTGACTTCAGTTCCAGGGGATCTGGTGCTCTCTTCTGACCTGCATGGGCATTGCATGACACGGGTACACTTACATACATGCAGGCAACACATGTGTATACCTAAAATAAAAATAGTAATAATACATACATACATATATACGTAAACATTTTTTATAAATGAAATGATACAGTATCTGATGCTTCCCTCCCTCTTCTGAGTTGCAAGCCTGCAGCAACCCTACTGTCTCAGTCTCTAATGTGTTGGGATTTGAGGCATGTGCTGTCTTCCTCAACTTAATATGTGATCTTTTTAATTAATTAATTAATTTTTTTTTTGTCTTCTTGAGACAGGGTCTCCCTGTAGCCCCAGCTGTCCTGGAACTCACTGTGTAGACCAGGCTGGCCTTGAACTCACAGAGATCCACCTGCCTCTGCCTCCCAAGTGCTGGGACTACAGGCGCGTGCCACCACGCCCAGCTAGTTTTTATTTTTTAATTTTTAATTTTTTAAAAAATGTGTATGTGTGTATTGCCTGCATGTAGGTGAGTACACCTATGTCATGCAGTGCCGTGGAGGACAGAAGAGGCTGTCAGATCCCCTGGAACTGGAGTTACGGACAGTTATTAGATGCCGTGTGGGTGCTGGGATTTGAGCCCAGGTCTTCTGCAAGAACAGTCAGTGTTCTTAAACCGAGCCGCTGATTCATCTCTCCAGCCCCATGATTTTTTTTTTAATTTATTTTATTAATTTTATTGCCAAGGTCTCATTATATAGGTCTTGCTGGCTTAGAATTCACTATGTAGTCCAGGCTAGTTTCAAACTCACAGAGATCCTCCTGCCTGTGCTGGGATTAAAGGTGTATACCACCATGCCTGGCCCAGTATTTGATCTCTTATTTCTGAGTTTCTTAAACAGCATGAGGTTTTTAAAGCCCCATCCATGATGTAGCATGAAATAATTGTTTATCCCTTTTTATTGACACTTTAGAAAAAGCATAATTAACATTGAACACAGCAGCAGAGTACATACCATTTGAGCACACATGGAATGTTAAGACAGACCATATCCTACACCATAGACAATTCTTAATAAATTTAAAGATTGAAACATGTGAGGTATATTTTCCAGCCACAATGAATTTAAATTCGAAATCAACATTAGAAGGAAATTTGATGCATCTGAAACTAGTTCTTTTATTTAAAAAATATTATTTTTATTTATCTTATGTGTATGAGTATATTGCCTTGAATGTATGTAAGTACACCCATGTCATGTAGTGCCCTTGGAGGTCACAAGAAGGTAACCCATTCCCCTGGAACTGGAGTTACAGACAATTGTTAGCCACCATGTGAGTGATGGGAATCGAACTCTGATTCTCTGCAAAGGCAACCAGTGGTCTTAAGTGCTGAGCCATCTCTCTAGCCCTGAAACTGTTTCTTAGTAGCTAACTAACTGATACCATATTTCTAATAACCTGAGTCAAGGAAGAAGTTACAATGGAGGTCAGACAGTATTTTCATTTGAATAAAAAACATAAAGGATATTCAGGTATAAGAGAACTTCATAAAATCTTCAGAAAATAGAGGAACCCATTCCCCTTCCTTCTGTGGTGTTAGTTGCATCCTGAAAATAAAATTAGCAGAAGACATCACAAGAAATGATGAGCCAATATCCCTCAAAATTGTAGGCATAATGTTCCTCAAGCGATGTCTAACATGTCAAAAGATGATATACTATAGCCAATTGAGTTCGTCCTAGAAATGCAGAGCAGGCCTAATGTCTAGAAGTCAATTAATGATATATATCATAGTGGTCAAAATTAAGACCAGAACCATAATATGTCATTTCAGTTGACACAGAACAATACGTACATGTGTGTATGTGCGTGTGTGCATGTGTTATAATGTTACAATGTACATTATATTGGCAAGTTGTCATGTGCTTTGTGAGCTCATCGAGGAGCTAGCTTAGGAATCCAGGTTCCCTGCCTCTCTCTATTTCAGTCCCAAGCATTTTTGTTTTAGAGTGTCTTCCAGGACCAAAGAGAATAGTTCGCTGATCATTCAAGTATCTTCTTTTTTTTTGGTCTTTTTGAGATAGGGTCTGCCTGTAGCCTCAGCTGTCCTGGAACCGTGTGGACCAGGCTGGTCTCGAACTCACAGAGATCTGCCTGCCTCTGCCTCCCAAG